ATGTATATTCAGTATACGCTCGGAATGGCTGCCGGTCCATTCTGGGTTCTAGTGGCCCTAATCTGCCCACTAGAGTGTGCACATGGTGTCCGGCTTTGCCGACAGATGTTCAGTTTCAGACAGGTGACTTATTTCAGACAGATGATCAGTATCAGATTATTCTGACCGGTATCAGATATTAGTTATCAGTTTCAGTTCAGTTCAGTTATATATGCCAGGATCATGATATTGTTATTATTTTCACAGTGTTACTTTAGTATGGGTTTCCACGGAGCACAGTGTCATGGTGCTCACGCCCCACTTATTTCATTTTTTTTTTCAGGTCACCGGGTCGGGGACGAGGAGTGAGCTGACGAGCTGTTCAGGACATTTGTTTTGTTATGTATAAACTATGTTTTGACCACGCTACAGTTCGGCTAACACTTTCAGTACTTAAACTCAGTTTTTGATCCGACTTTAGTCGGTTAATATGTTATATAACCGTTTTTAATATAAGTTTAAAATTAACGGTTTTTCAATCAGATTTTCACGGTAGCACTCCGAATCAGTTTTCGCAAATTAAATTTTTATTAAGTTATTCAGAAATTTTGCGAAAAATGCGTAATCAGATTTCAGTAAAATAGCGGGGTGTTACAATATGAACTTATTTTATGATTTCATGACTTGGGATATTATGAATTTGAGATTTTCTGTTTTCACGAACTCTTGTTCCGAGATTTTATGATCGTTTAAAATAAGGTTGAGGGGATGCCTCTTTGATACTGTGATGATTTTATGAAACCCGGTTTGGGTGCTTGATGACATTGTGATGAAATCAGCTTTGGGAGTTGATTTTATGTTTGATATTATGTTGACTGTTGATGTTGGTTTCTAAAAATGAGTAACGCCACGAATGGTTTGAAATGAGTTTCGGAAATTTTAATTAATTTTTCTGAAAAGCCATGGATTTTTGTTAAATCAAAGTGTGGCGTTACAATGGTGCAACCAAGACCACGCCGTTCGAGCTCGTGTATGGTCGAAAACCGCCGACGCTCATGAGCTACTCGGAGAGAACCGCTATAAACGACGAGATAGGCCGAGAACTAATAGAGCGTGATCTGATGTTGTGGGAGTTAAAGAAAAACCTCGAAGGTACGATCAACCGCATGAAGACCTTTCATGATGGCAAGCAACGTGAGGAGATCATTGAGCCCGACGACCACGTAAATCTGAA